TGCCCCGCAGTATTAGAGCTGGCTCATGCTCATGCTCATGCTTCCTTGAAGTGTGCTCATGCCGCATGAAGAATAAAATAACAGACTTCCCGACGAAGGAGAGGTCGAGACCTTTTATCCGGAATCCCTCGTGGCAGATACTCGATTCTCGGCAAGTCAATTGCATGATTGATGGTTTTGCTAGCAGTCAGAATAATTGCCATGTGTTGAGGAGAAGCTTTCTTGCTAATGATATGACGGCATTCCCTCGTTTCGGCCTCGGCGTCAGATTGGAATTTGGAGAGCATTCATGTGAGGAAGCTGAGCTACAGGTACGGGTATGGGCTTTAGTCAAAAGTCAATGGTACTCATTCTATTGTTTCTCAAGCACATGTCGACGCCATGTTGTGACCAGAATGGAATGGATCCTTTTCCATCACAATAGAGACTGTGGGTTGATGATATCTGAGTCCCTTTCGCGACGCAAGGGTGATACACCGTTTTTCTAGCGGGATAACCCAGGCATCACAGCTTCACATTGGCTCCGGAAGCACATTCCGGACCGTTCAGGCCGACATAGCGCCGTATCGGAAAGGCAGTCAGGGAGTTCCTCTCTTTGTAAGACGGACGTAACACATGCTTTCAACCAAGACCGGGGAGGGGCTCCGAACTTTACACCAGAATCGAACGTTGACATGAGAAGCTTATCAGCCGATGATGTGTTCTGCATGTGAAATGTTTCTCGAGACAGTTCCGTTTTGTAGATTTAATGTACCCAAAATAGGGCGACTACGATTGGCCGAGCCCTCCCAAAAAACCCAAATCGCTTCCAATGCCTGCCAAGGTAGCAGAAAACAGAGGCCAGACAACCAAATGACGCCGTTAGAAACGCAGGAAGAAAACGCCATCGCGCCGATTACAGCCTCGTTCAACGATTTTTACAGACACCACACTTCCCAGCCCGCACTAATGCAGGAAACAGCGACCAAAAAACTCCCAACAATACGAACCATAGTGTTTTTGAAACCGCAGGGGCGTCATGCCGAGTAACTCGGCGGATTCGGGTCCGCGTACACCATGGTCGCTTTGAGGAAAATGAGCACCTCATACGCCGCCTTTGCAATGTCGAGCCCCTTTTTCTTCCACTCGGACTCGTACCACAGGTTCTGCAGCATATTGTCCGCGACGAGCGTGACGATGAAGCGCACGTGGTGGTCCTCGGCCGTCCACGCGCTCTTGTCCGGGCGGTAGACGCAGAATTTCGCCTTGCGGCCGTTGAGCGCCTCCCGCGCCGCCTGGGCCGTGCGGATTTTCTCCGGCTCCGGCACGGCGCTGGGGCCGGGCGGTAGGCCGTCGGTGGGGCCCGCGGCGGCGACGTCGGCGATGGCGCGGGAGAGGAAGTCTGCGTTGAACTCGTTCCAGGGTCCGCGGACAAAGTTGCTGTCGAGCCAGTCGTGGAACTTTGTGGCGTCTTTGAAGGGGAGGAGCTCGAGGAGGAGGCGCTCGTGCTGGAGGGATACGCGGGAGGAGGAGGAGGCCGGCGGGTTGCGAGCAAGAGCCGGTGTCCGGGCCGGCGATGTGGGCATGGCGGCGACGGTTTCGACGGCGGTGGGTTTGGGGACCATGCGGGGCGTTGGGGGAGGGGAATCGAGGCGCTGGTAGGGGAGTTTTGTGATGGGTGAGGTGGATTGCGTTGTGTGTCTGCGTGGACGTGGGATGCACATTGGAAGAAGACGAAATGCACCTGGCGGGCACCAAGGAACACAAAGTTAAAGAGGCAGACAAGTCGACTAAGGGTTGGGAAACTTGCAAGCGACTTAATCGTAGACTGTGGCTGTACAGAGAGTCTGCCTGACCAAGCTCGGGATGGACAATATCACATATATGTCTCTCTTCCAGCCCTACGATATCTGGGCCGCTCTGCACCGAATATGCCTCGCATCAAGGGTCTTTTGTTTTGACGTCAATACGAACCCCTGCCGTCTCGTCTTACGAATTGCTGCCTGAGGGGATTTCTTTGATATGAATGCACGCTACATCAGAAGCATGTTGAAGTTGTTTCTTTGGACTTTTGGAGGGGTTTGCCTCTAGGCAACAGAGCTGAAATGCAGCGTCGGCGAATCAGGAGTGTCTGTCAGCCGCGCTGCTCACGGCGCTTACGCGGCCGTGAGTGAGCCAAGCAGTGAGATGGGCAGCACTCGTCTGACCATTTGCATCAGATCAAGCCCGGATTAGGAGGGACGGTTCTGAGCACCGGATTTGTAGTAGAGCATGCACGCCGGGTTTGAGTGCAGATGCATTGGAGTTGGAAATGGAGGTTTAGGCTGCAGCAATTCTTCGACCATCTGCTTTGTGCCTTGGCATGGATCTTTCTTGTAAGACTATGAGAGAGCGAGTATAACACTGGCCATTGTAAGTGAGATGATGTATGATGGGCGTTTAGTTTTCTAAGACCTGCTACAAGGAGATCTACCTGACTATAGCAATCAGCTAGTGTAAAGAGGTGTAAATAATTTCCGCCAACAAACTCATCATACAGTGCCACGAGTGCCTAGCTAGTCTCGTCCAAGGCTAAACTCATCGAATGTAGATTTCTTCTTGTGCTAACAGACTTCTTTCGAGTAACGGTACTCAGGACTGAACTCGGTGCCATATTCAAATGAGCAACAACTACACTGTTTTTCAGATCGCGAAGGTAAGGTACCTTAGCCATCGCTCAAAACAGGGGAATGATGAATGCGCCTGTAACATTACCTAGTCAAGTGGATGGCATATCGACTGGTCCATGTAGAACAAGAGACCCTCTGAATCAATACAGGATGTTCAACATGCCTTATATCATTGATTGGCGACTTGGCAGGATGATATAGCCCTCAAAAAGGGGCCGATCCGCGGTTCGAACGCGGGACTCTTGCAGATAATCCAACGAATCCAAAGCAAGGATCTTACCACTTGACCAATCGGCCTGGCTGTTGATGTCTTCTAGATGGAATAGTTTCAATTGAAATCGGCATAATATTGAATGAGTTGTGGTTGGGATGAGGTTGAAGACGTGAGGTGAAAGGCTGGGTGCGGGCGGTGTTGAGTCACCCGGCAAGCGAGCGTGGAAGGACCTCACCTAAACACACGACGGGGAAAGACGGTAACGAGGTCTCAAGGTTATTTTCTGACAGAAAACCCCACTTGATCTATTTCATTTCAGGAAAGTAAAGCTACCAAGTCAACTGTTGGGAGGAGAAGACGTCCTTGCTACGCAAATGGTCGTAGCCTTCCCTGTTTGTGTCGCAAAGACGAGATTAAGGTTCTTTCCAGTTAAAATAATACTGGTCGTGGTTATCGGGCCGCGTTTGCAAGAACTCAGTCAGACGAGGAAGGCGATGTTGACTTGTGCTTGACAATAAATTTTGACACACGAGGGCAGTTGGGAAGTAACGCCAGCCAACACCTTCTATAAACATGATTCATATTGGTTGGTAGCATGATTCTCTGATGTTGACATGACGAGAGAATTTCGTACGTGTTTTCTAACTTGTCGTCCTCCATCAACCTTGGCCCCCCTTCTCCAGACGCGAATGTGCCTCAAAAGCGTTGTCTGGCGACGCAGCTTCCTATTTGAGGGAATCCTGTTAGTCTTTGCATCCAAGATGGTCTGTAACAGCGCTGACTTTTTTCTTTGAGAGACTTGCGGCTGCTTCCTATTCTCTCCAATCCATCACCCACCTCTCCTTCGCACCACCTAGACGACAGCCATGCGAGAACTCCCTCCTCTGCAGCTCGACGGCATCGAAGCTGAGATGGATAATGACAACACGCGACCCGACACTTCGAAGAGCTCAGACGAGCCTAACCAGTCTTCTTTTCGGCCTCGCTCGAAGAAGCAGAACCAACATCGGGTCAGATATCGCTTCTTGACTCCCTCTGAATGGGCCATTGTTGCTCATGGAATCGGCGGCGTCAAGGATACTGAAGGACACATTGCCCTTCATCCTTCCTGTTGGTACTATCCGCCCAAAGGGATCCCGAACGGACTGTACCGAGATGTCATCTGGCATCGGACCAAGTATTTCTACATGTACCATGGCATGAGCTCCATTCGATGGGTTGCCTACATTCTTCAGATCATTCTAGGAGCGATCCTCACCGCAATCGGTTCCATGTCTTTCAAGAACGGCACTCCCATCACCATAATTGCGGCTACGAACACTATCAATGCTGGAATACTCGCACTTTTGCACAACAGCGGACTGCCCGACCGTTACCGCTCCGACCAGGCGGAATTCGATGAGGTCGAAGACCACCTCAAACAGGTCCTCGACACTGGCATTGTCCCGGAGACCATGTCTGTTGATCAGGCTCTCATCCATTGCTTCAGTCTCTACCACGAGGCTAAGAAGACCGTAGCGGCAAATATTCCGGCGACATACACCCCCAGCTCGGTTCTCGGAGCTGGCCAGCAGGTTGGTGAGCCGCAGAAATCCACCGTCACAGGTCCAACGACACCAAACGCAGCTAGCGGCGTCATTGCAACCAGACTTTCAGTGGCATCACCAAAGACGAGTGAGGCACAGGCCATTGAGGAGAAATGAAGAAGCCTCGTTGATCAAGGAATGAGAAAAAGTTAATTGGAGGTCTGCATTACCATCCATGACTCATCGAGGTATGGAAGGAGAATGAGGTATGCGGTGCCTGGTACAGTTGTGGCATGACTTTGGCAGTAGTAGATGATAGGACCACCTGTGTTTGATCGGAATGGTAATGGAACGAACGAGGGAGAACGTGCATTCTTAGACTCAGTCGCACTTGCATCGAGTTATGTTGTCTGAGGTGGCGAGAGGTAGACTCTTGGAGCAACACCATGGATTAAGATATAACGATGCCAAGCTGAAACATTCGAATAGATGAATACATGTGCTACATGCCCTCCAAGCCTTCCTTGGCCAGGATGCTGATATCTTACACTACAAAGAAATGCTTCTCGTACATGCTCTTATTTCAACGCACTGCTCTCTTGCGTATCGGGATCATCCCCAGTTGATGCCGAGGAACCTGACGCCTTTCTTTCCAGAACCGGTCGCCGTGTCTGCGTTCTCGAGGTAGTGTCGCTGGTGCCCTCTGACATCAACGTAGAGGTACTTGTATTCAAACTCGCCAGAGATGGGCGTCTTGATCATGTGCAGGTAAACCACGCCTCTGTTGAGTGGCCCCTCGACATGGAAGTGCATCAGCATATGCTCATGACCTCTCGAATCCGTGTTGATAGTAGAGCTATTCCAGTTAGATTTATTCAATTCTTGTCATGGGAGGAGCGACATACGCAATCGGACGAGCTCGTCGCCACTTGTTATACGTTTCCTCGCCATGACAAACAATCTTCTTCGAATCTCCCAGCATTTCGATGCACTTCTGATCAGCCTTGATCTTGTCGACGACTCGGTTAAAGACAGCAGTTTTGCTGTCCGGAGAGAAGACATCCGTCCACAAAACATACGCAACTCCGCCCTATTAAACCACCTCCATCGTTAGCTACTAGTTGCCGCGGGGTAGAAGTCATTTGACTTGCCGTCACTGCGATACCAGCCAGAATCAGCCCAAAGTTGAAGGTCTGTTGAGTCGCCCTCGCTGCCTTTTCTCCCCCAGAAAGCTGCGACCAAGGAACCGAACCATTGTCGTTGAATGGCGTGACCTTCTTCCGTTTCGAGCTAGTTGTCGAGGCGGTTGTTCCGAGACCATACTGCGTCGCATAGCTTCGCTGGAGTAGCAGAGGTCGTAGTCGGGGTGCAAGGCCCAATCTTGCAGTTGCGCGGATCGCATTCGAACAGGTAGTCGTCTTCATCATGGTGGTTCGACGTCAGCCATCGTACAACCGCAGCAAGCAGGGTACGGTAGTGGTCGAAAAGAGCTCGGCAGTCGAAAGTTGGAGCTCCCCATGTAGCTGGTCTGGGCGAGCTCTGCAAAAGCCTCTTGACCGCCCTTGGCAGAATCCCGATGGCCAGCCCACTGTGGGGGGATTGGTCTAGCCCATTTAGGCCTAGCGTTCTGGCTACATGCCACTTCACCCAAGGGCGGCGACTGCCTCCTGAACTTTTGGACACGAAATTCAGATAACTCCGCTCCCTGCTTCGCTCTTGCTTGCGCATCATTTCTGTACCCGCAACCTGCACCCTCTTTCGCTCCCTTTGATATCACGGCCTTCGCAACCGGTTGCGCTTTCAACTCCAGGACCAGAAGCACACAACTGAACTGTTGCAAATACCGTCACGATGGCTGCACTCGCTTCCAAGCAGCAGTCGCTCAAAATCTTTGAGAAATTGAAGACTAAGCCTGCGAACAAGGTACGCCCAACACCCTGCACCCCTTTCTGCCCAAAGTTTGTTATGTTGTGCAGTGTTGATTGACTTGCGCACACCACAGATCTGCTTCGATTGCGGCGCCAAATACCCGACATGGACCTCAGTCCCCTTTGGCATCTACCTCTGCCTCGACTGCTCGTCTAACCACCGAAACCTCGGTGTCCATATCTCCTTCGTCCGATCCACCAATCTCGACCGTACGTTCACCCGACCACTGTCCATCTTTCCCTCCCTTGGCTGACCTCTACGATAGAATGGCAGTGGGATCAGCTGCGTGTGATGAAGGTTGGTGGCAATGAGTCAGCTACCAAGTTCTTCCAGCAGAATGGAGGTACTGCTGCCCTCAACAGCAAGGACCCCAAGACCAAGTACCAGTCCAGCGCTGCCACCAAGTACAAGGACGAGCTGAAGCGCCGCGCGGCGAGAGACGCTCAAGAGTGCGTATACAAATTGTCACTCTTGAATGTCAGATAAGCTGACAAGACAGATACCCCGGCGAGGTTGTCATCACCGACGCTACCGACGCCGATACCTCTACTCCCGCTGGCGAGCCTGACGATGATTTCTTCTCTTCCTGGGATAAGCCCTCCATCAAGAAGCCTACGCCCCCGATTTCTCGCACTTCAACTCCTCCGACCGTCGGCCGAACCGCCTCCCCCTTCCTCAACGCCAACAACGGTGCCGGCAAGGATATTGCACGATCCTCCTCGCCCCTGTCCAAAACGGAAGGCGACAACAAGCCCACTACCGGCCGCGTAACCACCTCTGCTGCCCTGCGCAAGACTACGGCCTCCACCGGACCCCGTAAGGCCAACATCTTGGGAGCCAAGAAGGCCCCCAAGCTTGGAGTCAAGAAGGTCACGGCTGATATCATCGACTTCGACGAGGCTGAGAAGAAGGCCAAGGAAGAGGCGGAGCGCATCGAGAAGCTGGGCTATGACCCCGAGGCTGAGGAGGAGAAGAAGGCTGCCAAGGTGGATGCTGTCGCGGCTCCTACCCCCGCTGCCCCTTCGGGTGGATACGGATCATCCAGCCATACCCGTCAAAAGTCTGACGCCGAGATGGAGCGTTTGGGCATGGGTGTTCGCAAGTTGGGCTTCGGCATGGTTGGTGGAGCCAAGGGTGCCGCCGCAGCGCCCAAGAAGGCTGGAACTGGTGGCTTCGGCTCCGTTGGCCCCATCAAGGCTAAGACTGAGGGTAAGGAAATCGCTTTCCTAAAACGTGAATGCGCAACTGACAGCAATGCAGATGAGAGTGAGAACTACGCACGCAGCAAGTTTGGCGCCCAGAAGGGTATCTCCTCTGACGAGTTCTTCGGCAAGGGCTCCTTTGACCCCAACCAACAGGCCGAGGCGAAGACTCGTCTGCAAGGTTTCGAGGGCGCGACCTCCATCTCGTCGAACGCATACTTTGGTCGCCCCGAGGATGAGCCGCAAGAGGAATACGGGGACCTCGAGGGCGCCGCCAAGGACTTCATTCGTAGATTCGGTATTACCGCTGGCGACGACTTGGAGAACCTTGGCCAACTGGCCGGCGAGGCCAGCCAGAAGCTGCAGGGTGCTATCCGCGCCTACCTCGGAAGCTGAGCGGTTCGATACGACACAACAGCAACGTCACTGGAAACGACAGCATCGAAATTTGGAATTTCACTTTGCCATTGAGATATAGAAAGCGGCCATATCCCAAGGTTCCCTCTCACTGTTTAGAGGGACGAACGCCATACGCCAGGGGAGTCGGAAGGTATGAAAGCAGAACGTTGGACAACGGCAGGTGGACGCGGGAAAAAGGATACCTTGTGTGCTTTTTTTGCAACGGCCTAACCTACTTTATCGAGTGAACCTGGGGGTCGATCGGTCACTGTGGGGTCTCGAAGTTGAGAAGGGGGAAAAAGACGCATGCTGAGGACTTTTGAGATTTGATTGCATCCCGGCATACGAGGCGTACAGACAGAGCCGGCGACGGGGGAGAGGATTGACACTTTGCTTGGTTGGTTTGGGTCTAATACATAGGTATGAAATGAATAGAATTGAGCTCCATCATCATGTTCTTGAACGTTGTCCGGCTTCTCTCGTCTTGGCACTAGGCACAGGGATCGTGATTGTCGTTGTGTCTGCAGCTGAGTACAGGTGTGGAGAGAAAGCATGTGAAGTATCCACTCCGCGCGCCTATCCGTGCCTTCCTTACCTTCGCCTTCCAGGGTCCATCGTATTCATGCGTGACTGGGGCCGAAAACTCTACAAAACTTGAGCGCAAGAGAGTGCGAGAACACGTTGCGACTTTGGGGTCAGCCGTTCTAGTCACGTCCCATTTTCTAACTGGCCACTTGTCAGAGAAAAAATTCAATCAGACCTCGAGCACAGACGGGAGGTTCTCTGGATCGGGAATTGGGGAATCGTTCTTTTCTACTTCCCCAGAAATTGGGAAAGCTACAAAATCATCACAGGAAAATAGTTCGAATGAATCGTGTGGACTTGGATGAAGAGAAATTGGTAGGTCATTTCGTGATATGCTAGCAATCATCCATCTCAGGGTCATCTCAAATATACAAAACAAGAGCCTCATAACTCCAGGCCCCGGGGAGACGCCAGGCATAGGCTTCCCCTGGCGCCCGCCCAAATATGCGACCAACTTTAAAAAAAAAAAAGAACACTACGCTTTTAAACAATTTACAACTTGGCGATCATCTTGTTGCCCTTCTGGAGCCATGCAACGGCGTCGTTTACAAACTCGTCCATGACTGCCTTGGCGGGCTTCTTCTCGTTACACACAGCCGCGGCCTTGCCCATGAGGAAGGGGCGGAACTGATCGAGGGCATCGTCAATGTCGACCTCGGCGGCGTTGTCGTCGCTGCCGCTCTCACCGCTGCCCTCACCGTCGCCCGAGTTCATGAGCTTCTCGAGGTCAGCCTCGTAGGGAATGACACCCTTGGCAGTGAGCTCCTTGATCTCCTGCTGGCGCTCCGTCTCCCAGTTCTCAATGTACGGGTTCTTGCGTACACGAAGGGGACGACCGGTGAAGATGAGGGTCTTGATGTTGTCGTCGTGGCCAGCGGTCCGGACGGCCTCCTTGTGGGCCTCGGGGGCACCGGCCTCATCAGTGAGAATGAAACGGGTTCCAACCCAGACGGCACCGGCACCCATCATGAGGGCAGCGGCCAGAAGCTGACCGTTGTGGATACCACCGGCGGCGATGACCTGAACGGGGCCCTTGAGGAGAGGGCTCTTGGTGTTCTTGCAGAGGTCGACAACGGCAGGGATGAGGACGGTGGTGGGGACGTCACCGGTGTGACCGCCACCCTCACCACCCTGAGCGCAGATGATGTCGACACCGAGGTCGAGGCACTTCTGGACGTGCTTGGGGTGTCCGATCATGTTCATGTAGACGATGCCGGCAGCATGGAGTCTGTCGACGACGTGCTTGGGGGGGACACCGACAGCAGAGACGAAGAGCTTGGCGCCCGACTCGATGATGATGTCAACGAGCTGGTCGAGCTTGCCCTTGGTGTAATCGTAGCTGAAGCACGAGTAATTAGCCTCGGTTAAAAGTTGTAGATGCGGCACATGCGCGATCTCCCGTCTCTCTAGAAGAGGTGTGGAATTGGGTGGTTCGATGCTTACTTGGTCTTTCTGGCGCTGCCACCGACTTGGGGAAGAAGCAGGTCAACACCGAAGGGGGCGTTCTTGTCAACCAGGTATTCCTTGAGCTCTGCGATCTGCTCCTTCAGCATGTCCGGGGTGTAGCCGACACCACCAATGACACCGAGACCACCGGCGTTGGTGACAGCAGCAGCCAACTTGGGGCCGGCAGCAACGTTCATGCCGGCAAGCAGGATCGGGTGCTTGATCTTGAAAAGATCGGTGATGGGAGTGCGAATTTGCTCTGTATCGCGGGAACGTGTCAGCAGTGGCTCTGGGGCGACCACTCTGTCGCATGTGACAGTCAAGGTCCAGATAGCGAGATAGGTTACTTACGAGGCGACGCCATTGTGCCTGTGTTACTGGATGTGATAAATGCTAAAAAGATCTGGGTATATCGGGTTGTGGAGCTGTACAGACGAAGAAGTTTGGCTTCGGAAAAGAAGTAGTAGATGAAGGAGAAAGCAGGTAAATCCTTTGGAAGAGATGAGATCTGGCAATCGGCGGTTTAAAGGGTTCTGGTGGTAGTAGCGCTCGGCATCAAAGGCACTTTTGGTTTCTGGGGAAGAAGGGGCGGAGTAGCGTTGCCATGCGCCCCTGCTGGGAGTCCTGGACCGAGGTTCGCCTGTGACCTCAGCAGCTAAGCCTGTTTGGGAACAGCGGGTCAGTCCAGCAGGGTGGATCTGGGGAACCTCAGAGATGCCGAGGGTCACTTCCAGCCTCCAGCCTCCAGAAGCGGGACAATTTCACAAGGGCACAAGGCAACTACAGTAGGTATGGAGTACATAATCAAGGAAAAGCATAAGTCGTTTATGCATCCCTCCCTCCCCCCAAAATGATTGATTCATCGA